AAATTCTAGATAAGTGGTCTAGAGGTGTGTTTCTTAAAGGGTGGTCCTGGGACCGGCATCGACATCACCTAGGGAGTTTTTAGAAATGCAAATAATCAGTCACTCAAAACACACAAGTCTGGGTATGAGACAATCTATACTTAACAAGCCCTCTAGGTGATTCTGCTGCAGACAGTGGAGAACCTCTGGAAGGAGACATAATAGGACCATTTGAGCTTCTGAGGAAAGAGCTCATGTTGCTAGAACAGTCACAGAAAACTTTCTGAAAGAAGTAGCACCTGATTTGTGAATTGCATTATCCTTTTAGAGATATTCCATGTCTTTGGTTCTTCCACCCTCCCTACCTCTCTTGGGTTCCATATTAAATTGATGTATAAACCACGTTGTTCCCCAAAAATATACCACAAGTGGGAGGAGTATGCTGTGCCTACTTTATTAGTGATGAGCTTTGTAACTTTAGAGAAACATTTCCAATGGGTGACAAACTATTATTTGGGAAATTCTTTTATTATTAATTAGAAATGGTCTGGCTTTCTCTATCCCTAATCCACCTTGTGGGTGCTTATCGCCCCAAAGTGACGGGCATCGTTTCTCATGATGGTCACCCTGGTTTCTCTGCTGGGTTCTCACTTTCACAAATCCTATTGTGAATGTTAACATCTGTTCTAAGAGTGGTTATGAAAAGGGATGAGAAATTCTTGAATTTAAATTAGTCCTTATTTTATCTCCTGCTAAGTTTGCTGCGTTTCTGTCATTTCCTTGGCTTCCATGGGCTCTAATCAGAAGAGCTGTGAATGAATGCAGTATTGAGCGGAATTAGAGAACCCAGATACATGCAAAAGAGAAAGCATGTTTCAGTTGCTTATGCCCCACAGGAAGGGGCCCATGATGAACATTTTTCTTCCCAGAACTGATAATGGATGGAGAGATGGGGAGTACATTAATGTCTGAAAGTTGCCAAGGGGTTTTAGTTGGGCTCCCCTCCTCTTAGTTGGGGTCCAAGGTGAAAATGAGCAAAGCTCATAATCCTAACAGTAGATGCTTAAATGGCATGTGAAAGTGATCACATGGGAGAGCAGAATGGCACTCTCCCAAGTAAAAATATTAACGTATCAATTTACAATTTGGGGAAAGACCTGGGAAACACCATGTAAGGATATCTGGGATAGAAGCCAAAGAAATCTAGCTGAAAGGGTGTGCCTGGCAAGATTGCAGGAGAGAAGAAGCTGGATTAGTACAAGTCCTGACTGGGCCCCTATTTTTGTGTTCAGTTCTGAAATGAGCTCTCTGAGCCGAGAAACAGATAACCCAGAGAGTTGGGAAGACCAACATCATGGACTTCCTTAGAGGGTCTGTGTCAGTGAGGCCAGGCTGCTGGAGGACACTCGCATCCTGCTCAGCAGCAGCCCTGGGAAATGGCTAAGTCTGAGCTTGAGGTTCTGTGTTTACTCAGTCTTGAGCATTCCTTTCCTCTGTGGGCAAGTTTGTCCATTTGAAAGCTCTCTCGCATTTTGTAAACTTTCACATTTTTCCATTTTGTTAGTTTTTTTATACTCAAGAGATCTCCCCAGAGTGCCCACTTTTTGGTCTCCCCTCCCTTGCCCCTTCCTGTGTCATCTCCCAGTTAACTGGCCAGTGTTTGCACACCACTTAGTGGCTAGATAGATGAAAAGTGGTCTTGAATCATATCACCATCTGTATGAACTTCCTGTGGCTGCTGTAACAAATCACCACAAATTAGGTGGCTCAACAATTAGAAATTAATTTTCTAACAGTTCTGGAGGCCAGAGTCCAAGATCAAGATGGCAGCAGGACAGCACTGCCTCTAGTGGGGAGGGAAGACGTCCATCTTATGGGGGCTCCAAGTGTTCCTTGGCTTGTGGCCACTGAACTCCAATCTTCCCTTCTTCTTCTCATGGCCTCCTCCTCTCTGCCTGTCTCTCATCTTGTATCTCTTATAAGGATAAGGGCCCTTGTCCTTAGGGCCCAACTTGATAATCCAGGATGATTTCATCTCAAGATTTTTAACTTACTTATGTCTGCAAAGGTCCAGATAAGGTCACATTCACAGGTTACAGGAAATAGAACATACTCATGTCCCTTGGGGGAGCCAGCTATTCCATCCAGTACATCATCTTAGTACTCTCTTTTTCAGTGGTCCTTAAGCTTAGGGAACTGTGAACTCCTTTGAAAATCTGATAAAATAAATGTAATTTCTCCATAATAAATACACATGGGCCAACAAATGCATATTTTTATTTAAGATTTCAGGGGATTGAATGGTGACATTCAAAACTAACTACAATTTTTCTTTGTGATCTAGTTAATGTGAAATTGACCTGGATATTGCCTCTTTCATTCTAGGTAATAAACAAAATGCAGTAATTAATGCATTCTAAGATCATCTTAAATATTTTTGGTTTCTCTGGAGCATTCACTTATATTAATCACATTGTGTATGATAAGTCTTAAGCTGCCACATTATTATTATTATTAATTATCACTACTACTACTATTATTATTTAACCTGAATTGCATCAAGCATTATTTCATTTATTCGATACTTATGTGATTGTGAGTGGGAGGACCTGACATCTCTCTCTGTGACTCCACATGTTAGTAGATTCAGCCTCTCCCTTCAGTCTGTCAAGACCTTTTTGGGTCCTGATTCTGCCATCAAGCATATTGACTGTTTCTTCCAGCTTTGTGTCATCAGAAAATGTGATTTCCAATGAGGACCATTATTTTCATGTCTTCAAGTCATTAATAAAAATGATAAACAGGAAAGAGCAGATAGCAGAACCTTGTAGCTGACTACTCACGTCCTCCCTTCTGGTTGATTTTAATGCTTTAATTAGGTACTGTTCAGTCACATAATTTTACTGGCACCTGGCTCATATTTTTTCATCTTTTCTTCAAGACTGTTATGGCAAACACTGTCAGATGCTTTGCTAATATCCAGGTGAATCATGTGTCTCATATTTCCTTCTTCTGTCTGCCTCGTAACCCTTTCATAGAAAGGAATGGGATTAATCGGACATGATGTGTTTTGTGATCCATGAAATTTAACTGTAAGCTATTTGGAGTAAGTGGAAGTGTTTGATTTGGCATCACTAAAATTCTTCTACTCAGAGTACTCCAATCAAGGGAGAATGACTAGAGGAGGTAGCATTTGAATGTGGGAGGATTTAGATGGGCCGGATAAAGACAGAAGACATTCATCCAAGTCTCCTCCCACTGGTTTTTGTTTGTTTGTTTGTTTGTTTCTTCCAACGATCTTTCAATATAACTCTCTCTTCAAACAAGTAGAAATTTTTAAGATATAACTGCTTTGTTAGAGATTTAAAAGCAACTGACTCCTGACCTCTCCATGAAATGAATTGAGACTAAAAGGTGGAAGTACTTCAGTGGTAACCTGGCATGGATGAATTGGGTTTGGAGACCACTGAATACCGCATGAGTGAAGGAGAACAGAGAGAACCCAGGGGGGAGGTGTTTACATTCACTCTGCTTTACACGCTATTGGCCACATAACCCAAAATATTCTAGCCCCATGGCTTCTGCTACTCAGTGCTGAGCTAAGATTCTTATAAAGACCATACGTTTTTGGTTTTGTTCTTTTAGTACAGTTGGCACACAGTTTGCATGAGTTTCAGGTGTATAACATAGTGATTCGGCATCTCCATACGGTATGCTACACTCACGACAAGTGTAGCTACCATCTGTCACCATCCAGTGCGATTATGGTATCATCGACTATATTCCCTGGCCTGTGCCTTTTATCCCCAAGACTCATTCACCTCAAAGTCTGTTTAATCTTCTTTTAGACAAGACTCTGAAAAATTGTATTTAACTTTTAAACTGATAGAACATTAAAGGGCATTTCCCAAGATGTAATATAAGTTGTACGATCCACAAAACGATCCTATTTCTTTGTCTATTTCATAATTTTAGTCTGCTCTCACCGCTCCCAAAGCATCTGAACTCATCCTTCAGATAGCAGCAGGGACTGTCCCTGAAGGAGAGTTAGTCTCTTAGGTGTCACCATAGGAAGAGCTGGCTGTGGGGAGACGAGAATCCAGGGCTGGGAGCATGATTAAGTTTTGCTCACATGGAAGATATCCAGTGCCTTGAAAGACTTCCATTGGTTGAGGTTCCCAGAGTGATTGCTCTCCCATTTATAGCACTATGATAGATGTCTTGCGTTGTAATTACAAGATATGCCACCCGAGTGGAGTATGGATGATCAGTCTTTTTTTCTATTTTTCTAGAAACGATTGATCATTCATATTTACAGGGCCATCAACTTCTGGGCTTTGAAAAGGGCAGTATTGATTATCTAAGTCACACAGATTACCGGTATGGTTCTTTACTGTACATAAATAGGAGTTCCTTTTATGAGGGTACTATGATTTTTCAGGGAAGGGGGAAGGAGTGATATTCATGTGAATTAAGCAATGAGGATTTCAACTAAAACACACTGAGATTTAGTCAGAATATTGGAACTGGAAGCCATACTTTAGATTAGCTAACCCACCCCCCTCCAACATACATATATACAATTTACTTTACAGGTGAGAAAACTGAGTCCCTGTTAGTAGACATCAGTAGATAAAATAACCGTGCTTGCATTAAGGTGAAACAAGAAGGCTACATGTCAAGATATGCACAACAGTTCTTTCTGAGTGGAAGATTTTGAACTATTGGGTGAATTTTTTCCTTCGTATCTTTCTGTGTTTTCAATGCTTCCTATAAAGCACATATATTACTTTTGCAACTGAAAAAATGGTTAGTTTTAAACCCACTGTGAATACCATGTCAATTGGCTAGAGTTATAAAATGGTGCACTTTGTCCTTGGTGACCTTCAAAGACCTCATTTTGGAAGAATCTGTTGAGTCCAGGCTGCAATTCGGTCTCTCTCCCTCCAGTCTTTGTGCATTAGTGACTGACTAGGGGGCTCTCTCTGCTTGTCTCTCCCATGCCTCCCCTAAACACTTAGAGTTTTTGGCCACTTCAGCCTCCGTTCTGAATGGCAGTTGGTGAAAGTGGACTACAAATCTATCTTCAGCCGGCGCTGCACCAAGGAGGACTATCAGACCTGGCACCTGCTCAATCAGGTACACCATAGGGTAGGGGCACACTGGCTTCTAGGAGGTGGAGCTTCCACAAGCCCTGTTTGGTCATCTCTGGGCCTTCCTGTTTGGAGGTGGAAGGTAGCGAGCCATCCAAAGATAATAGTAGATTTGGGGGGAAGGGTTGGAGTCCACACATCCAGGTCCAGCATAGACAGATGGTATTTCAGTACCCTTTTGCACCCTGGGATTCCGATCTACCCATTGAGGTCACCAAGTAGCCTAGGGGTGAGGTAACAATGATAAGCTGGGGCTTTAGCTCTATCTGTGGAGAAATAAGCCCAGACAGCTAAGAGACCTTTCAACAGTTTCATCATCTCACCTCCAATGGAGAGGGCGAGAACACTTGTCAGGCCAGCCTGCAGTAAGAGGCCCAAGAACACTGAAAACAGGACCATAGAAAAAGGGTGAGGGATGGGGGTGAGTGACTCTAGTAGAAATGGCAGATATTTGTTGCTATGCAATGTAAGCAGACTTCTGCATTCTCAGAACCATTGGGTTCATGTAATTTGTATCAGCTTCTCCTCTTTTTGCCCTTGTTTGGGAATAAGGACTTAGGCATGGTTGTTTATCAGAGAGAGAGAACTTTTTGGGCCAGCTTCAATTTTACTCTGAAGATGATGTTAAAACTGTGCCAGAAGTGGGTTCTTTTCCACTAGAATTTATGCCGAGGTCATTTGGGCAATTTGGAGATCTGTGAACTCTCTTTGAAGGTGCATTCTCTCTAAAGGTGGAAAAGAAACAAGATGAAGCAGACATCATTGGCTAGGTGGGGTGAAGGGTAGTGATGGGACAGCTCTATGATGTTCCTCTGGTATGGTAGTAACAGACTGGCCCTTTTTCCCTCGAGATTCCTGAATGGTTACTGGGAAAGAGATTGCTACACAGAGTGACTAGAAGAGAATGAAAAGGCTAATGTTTCTTATCGAGAAGCTGGTTTATTTCATCTCCTTTGTGTTTTTCTGCCTTTCTCACTATGGACTTTCTTTCTAAGGGGGAGCCCTGCGTCATGGGAGAAAGGAAAATATTCAAGAAACGCAAGCCAGGAGCTCAGTGTGCCCTGGGCCGAGACTCTTCAGGGACAGTGGTCTCAGAACCCTGTGCCTGTGCCGACTGGGACTTTGAATGGTGAGTCCCTTGGCATCTCATTGTCAATTTCAGTCAGACATTTACCTGTTGGGGTTGGGGATGAAGATGGAGGTAAGGGAGGAAGTCATGACCCTCAGATGGGAGGTGTGTTTGCTGGCCTGTGGGCCTGATGGCTCCAGTCCCTGGGCCAGATGGGAAGGCTGCATCGCTGGAAGGAGGACAGGAGGAGACGTTTTCACAGGGAAGCCCACTGTTCTATCAGAGCAGCGTGTCCAAGGAAACCTTCTCATTATCAGTTAGCAGCTCTGGGAAAGTACCAGAGAGGTTGGGTGGGGCACTGACAGCTTGGAGAGCTGCCACCATGGACAGGTACCTCCAGACACATTAGCTCAAACCGTGATTTTCCATGTGAACTCTCTTTTCATCATTTTCTTCCTCCCTCTAACAACAATCACAAAGAACAACTTTAAATCTCACCTATTAAGCAATGATTCACAAATGTCCAAATATTTATCTCCAGCTCTGACCTCACTGACCTCTAGGATGGAGACATGTGTGTCCATGTACGTACTCAGCCACCATCTCCCCTAGAATTGCTAGTAGGGATTTCAGATTCAGTATGGCCAAGGGGGAGCTCTTCCTGAATCTTTAACTGCTGGGAGTTTTTCAGCTCTTCTTCGGACTGGTTTTTCCAAACTCAATAAAACACACAGTTCCTTAAGTAAAAATCCCAGGAGAGCTTGATTTTTCCCTTACCGTCAGGTCCAGTCCATCCACAAGTCCTTGTGAGTCTTTACCTCCAGAACACATTCATTCATTCATTCATTCATTTAGATTTATTTATTTATTTATTTATTTATTTATTTATTTATTTATTTATTTATTTATTTAAGAGAGGGAGAGAGTGAGAGAGCAAGCAGGGGGATGGGGTAGAGGGAGGTAGAAAAGGAGAGCAAATCTCCAGCAGGCTCCCTGCTGAGCATGGAGCCCAGAGCAGGGCTTGATCCCACAATCCTGAAATCATGACCTGAGCCCAAACCAGGAGTCAGACACTTAACTGACTGAGCCACCTGGGGCCCCTCCAGAATACATTCTAACCTGAAGCACCTCTGCCCATGTCTACTGCAGCCTGGACACTACAACAGTCTGTTGTCTCTCTATTTTCACCCTCGTTGCCCTAAAACCTCTCTTCCTCACAGTAACCAAAATTTGACTATAAAAACCCAAATCCAATATTATCACTCCTGCACTTAAAACACTCCAGTGGCTTCCTCTCTCCCTTAAAATATTATGCCATCTTCCTTCCTTGGCTTTCTCTACTCTACATTATTTGGCCTGCTACCATTGGGCCTTAATTTCTTACTATTCTCCCCTCATTCACCATTTTGCAGCCACATTACCATCTTCTTTCTGTATCTTAATTAATCCAGGCTCATTCCTAACAGAGACAATAGCAACTGTAAGGATTTCTTCCAGATCTCAGCATGGCTGGCACCTCTAGGTAACTCACATCTCAGCAAAAATAGCAGCTTCTCAGAAATGCTTTCTGAGACCACCTGATCTCACCTATACCCTGTCACTGTGACACCTCACAGATTTCATGGTTTTAGTATTAGTCACCATATGGAGTGATCATGTTTTCTAAATTGCTTTATTACCACCTGTCTTTCCCCAGCAGAATGCAAGTGTCATGAGGGCGGGAACTTTAGACTTGCTTCAGTGCCTCACCCATAGTAAATTAAATAGTTGCACCATGTTCCTAAATGTTGTTCCTTTTAGGAGTCAACAGATGTCCCAAGTCTGGGCATGGGTGATCCCATTGGTGATCCCATTCTGATCCCAGCTGGGTAAATTCCTCCCCTACATCACAGTCAAAAGTTGAAGTTCAATATAGATATGTCCATAACCCTTTCCAGATTAAAAGACAAACCTAAGGGCTCTGGCATCAGCCTATAAATATGGCAGGGCAGTGACAGAGTTGCAATTGGGCTTTTCTGGTGTTGAATAACAGAAGTAAATCCAAATAGGTGCAGAACAGCTGCCCCTGCCCAACAACCTCATCCAGCCTGTTTCTGAGGCTTGCTTTGTGCTGGAAGCCTTCTTTGGTTCCCCACTTTCTACTAGGACTATAACTGGTAACTGCAAGCCAGCTAGAGGACTACGGCTGCTCCCTAGCTACTCTTCATCCCTGAACTCATGCCTTGGAAAGCTTGACCTCAGTGAGAGTCATTCAAATGGGATATGCTAAATGGAATTTAATTTGAATGTTAGTGTCCTATCTGTGACACTTCTGACCATTTGGAGACAGAGGATATTTTCATACTTGGGAAGACTGATTTCCAATACAATCCAGCAAAATTGTCATAGCAATGTATAGTAGGCCCCTGAGAATTATGCTACATGACATATGGATGTCAGTTTGAATATTCAGAATATGAATTTCAGTCTTCCTTGTGTCCCCCTCTGCAGACTGACTCCATGGAGGCATACTGTCTTTGCATGCCATGCTACATTTTCTCCTGTGTCTCTCTGAGCTGTAATAGATCCTGCTGTTGGGAAACCTCACAATGGAGAAAGAAGAATTGTAACCTAGATATTTGTCTTTCAGTAATTCCACTAACATTTACTGGTCTGGGGAAAAAAAAAAATCCCGGCTCTGATATTCAGTTTTTGACCTTGGGAAATTTTCTTAATCTCTATGATTTCACCTTCTTGGCTATAAAATACAAATATAGATCATGTATCTCATTGGTGCTAGGGAGGAATAAGTGAATTAATCTATATCATTAATGTAGGTAAGGCATTCATCCTAGTGATGTAAGAATCCATATGGTAGCTGTTGTTGCTGCTGTTGTTAATCTTATACCCCAGAGTTAAGTGGTCCCCGTGGTATTTTTAGCAAGTAAACCAGAGCTTATACATCCAAATGAGCCCTATCTACAAAGTTGTACCTTTGGGTGTAATCCATTCACTCATTATTGGCGGCATTGCCTAAAATATTTCTGAGCCTTTCTTTGGGAACTGCTATCAGAATACATCTTTGAGGGGTGTCTGGGTGGCTCAGTTGATTAAGCGTCTGCCTTCAGCTCAGGTCATGATCCCAGAGTCCTCAGATGGAGTCCTGCATCGGGCTCCTTGCTCAGTGGGGAGTCTGCTTCCCCCTCTCCCTCTGTCACTCCCCCTGCTTTTGCTCTCTCTCTCTCACTCTCTCTGTCAAATAAATAAATAAAATCTCTTAAAAAAAAAGAATGCATCTGTGAGTAAAGCAGGGAGAAATAAAAAGCCTTTGCAAGGTGTTCTTTGGCTCCCATACTTGCATTGGTAGAGGTACCACCTGGACCCAACATTCTGTAATATCAACATTGTTACTATGGCATTTTAATGAGAAGAAGATGAACATCTGGAATATAAGTTACTTGACTAAGATCACACAACTGGGAGAAATCTGGAGTTCAAATGCAAGTCTAGCTAAATTCTATGTTCTCTCCTAAATATGCCATTTCTTAAGAAATCAAACAAGTCTTTGTTATTAGACTTACCTTATGTTTCATAAGAAACAGTTCCTCAAGTTTAGTTATTTTAAAATTAGAATTCATCCTCAAATGACCTAGGTTAATTGCTGTTGATATGGATTAATCTGGAATGTTCCATTAACTTTAACCCAATTCCAGATGAAGTAGTTTGACCATTGGTCCTGGAATTGTAGTAGGTATATGGTGTTCAAGAAGACTTTATAGAATTTGGAGGGGGGGGACTGGTATTTGAAGTATTATGTGGTGGTCTTTCCACTCTCAGTTGTATCTCAAGAATATAGAAGACAGTATGGAGGTTCCTCAAAAAATTAAAAATGGAATTACTATATGATCCAGTAATTTCACTACTGAATATTTACCTGAAAAAAATAGAAACACTAATTTGAAAATATACATGCACCCCTATGTTTATTGCAGCATTATTTACAATAGCCAAAATATAGAAGCAGCCCAAATATGGCCATCAATAGCTAAATGGATAAGAAGATGGGGGTATATCTACATCTGTATCTATATCTCTCTCTATATAACTGAATATTACTCAGCCATAAAAAAGAATAAAATCTTGCCATTTGCAACAACATGGATGGACCTAGAAGGTATAATGCTAAGTGCAATAAGTCAGTCAGAAAAAGACAGATACCATATAATTTCACTCATATGTGAAATTTAAGAAACAAATGAACAAACAAGAAGACAAAAAACAAAACAAAACAAAACCAGACTCTTAAAAATAGAGAAAAACCTGGTGGTTGCCAGAGGGCAGGGTGGGGGGATGGGTGAAATGGGTGATGGGGATTAAGAGTACCCTTATCGTGATGGGCACTGAGAAGTGTATGGAATTGTTGAATCATTATATTGTACACCTGAAACTAATAGAACACTGTGTTAATTATACTTGAATAATAATAATAAAGAACCACTTGAGTCAGAGGTAGGATAAACAAATATACAAGACTTGAGGCTGGGTTAGTGGTCAGAATCTGAGAGCAAGAGCAAAATGTAATCATGTGACCTAAAAAGTACTTTTACACTACTTTTGAGTATGGAAGAGACAGTTTCATTTCTGAAATTTCTGTTGTCTTTCTACAGTGGTGTTTATAGACAGTAGAACTGAGTATTTGAGATTGTTTTGTTTTTAAGTGAACTTCAATAAGCATAGGTATTGATGTAAAAATATAGTTTTTCCATCAAATATGGTTTGTCTCCAGTGTCCTTGCTGGAAATCTGTGCGTGGCAACAATTTTATAGCCTTGTGTCCTTCTCAGTGGTCCTTCCTACTAGGAAGTATTATTAGCTAAAGAATTTGAAAAGCCCAGCTTAGTTAGTGTAAGTAATTATGATACTCATTCTACGTAGTTGTTTGCCTAAGCCAAATCAGGTCATGTTCATTTGATTGGTTCAGGCAACTTTTAAGTGTCAGAGACAGCAGGGAGAGGGAGTAACCTAGTTTAATCAGATTGGTAAAGCAGGATTGAGGAGGATGGATTAAATGTCTTGATTTTG